AGTATCTTGCGCATCTTCTTGCCAAATAATAGACTATTCGATTCATTGATTAACATACCAAAATTGTGAAACCACGTGACGATTGAGGGAAATAAACCAGAAATAACATTATTCAAAAAATTACATAATGATAGTATAAATGTGGCATCGCGTTTGAAGAATGTGTGCTTCAACAGTCATTGGACTGTGAATCCTCTTTGCGTTTGGAGTACGATAGGTTATGTAATGACGGCGGGCGTTTGTCCGTACATCACAATGCTATACAAGTCGCTCGCCTAACTCATCATAACATAACATAACATATAGTGATCTCGGCGCTGGAGCGTAGGCCTGACGTGGCCTGCCGCCGATTCTTTTCCTTTTCGTGCCTTGTTCACAGAAGATCTAAAATCGTGTCATTTGACCGGATCTTTTCATGACTGATGATAGTTTGAAGTAGCTACTAGACTTCCAACGGGTTCGATAAGGTGCTAGGCATTTCAAATCTGAACATATATTTTTCCATAGCATTATCTAGTCTGTTCTTGAACGCGTTCATACTTGGAGTGCCAACGATGTCATCGGGGAGGCTGTTCCACATGTCGGTGATTCGAAGCGAGAAGAAATTTTGTCGCGTGGAGAAGTTGCAGCGCAGTTTTTTTAGCTTATAGCAGTGGCCCCTGGTGTTAGTTCTTGTTTCAAATTCTAGTAATCCTTCGGGGACCTTGTATAGACCATGAGTATACTTCAATGAGGTCCCCGCGCAGACGTCGATAACTGAGGCTTGGAAGCTTCATAATCTTCAATCTTTCTTCATAGGACTTGCCCTTCAAGCCTGGAATTATCCTTGTTGCACGTCTTTGAACATTCTCTATTAAATTTCTGTCTTTTTCAAATCTCGGTGACCACACAACGTTTCCAATGCTGTACAAGTCGCGTAACGGTTCTTATCTGAATGTATTTAGATTATGTTAGTTTATTAGTTGTTCTCGATAATCTGTTACAAACGCGAGTTTGAAGAAATTTGTCATGTCTCTGCTTTCCGCTTCTACACAATTTAATGTTTAAAGACCGACTGTAATCAATTTACTCAAAAATACTTTCAATAATTTACGCGTCTTCAAAAAATTAAAGCATGTATGCTCTTATGCGGTATGTACCGATGATGAATAAACAATTGGAGTTGACAAGATTTTTATCGCCTCCGATTGTTATGCTTCATCTAACTTCAAGATAATATAAATATATATTATATCAGCTAGATATTAACAATATATGTATAATCAGAGCTGGGCAGCACTACTTGGAAATGTAGCGCCGCTACCGCTGCCGCTACATGCTCTAAATGTAGCGGGCGCTACCGCTACCGCTACCGCTACACTCACTGGATTGTAACGGGCGCTACAGCTACCGCTACAGTAAAATGTAGCGCGCTACATTAGCCGCTACAATGGCAAAATTATTGGAAATCTCTAAATATTTATTGTTCTGCTATTGGGATTTACTCATTACCATTTAATAATAATAAAACATTTTTAAACATATCAATGCAACTTTATTGCAATTAACCTAACCGAACTAGTATGGTTTACCCCAGGATTAGATACAGTAAATAAAAGTTACAGTTATTTTTACCTTCCCTACATGGATGTGAACTTTAATCTACCAATCTAAGAAATTATCCACATATACATAAAAAATCAGTCTTTTTTTGTACATATATGTGGATTATTTTTGAGATTGGTAGATTAAAGTAGACATCCATGTAGGGAAGGTGAAGCATAAAATAACTGTGTAAAAATAACTGTAAGCAAACTGAAAGATGAAAAAATACCTGAAAGTGGTACCGTAACAACTTAACAAGTAACAACTAACATGTTGACACTAGTAACAGGCTGAGGTTGACAACATTACACCGAAATCTTTCGTACAGTTTTATTCTGCAATTTATATTATGTATGTATCATGCTGGTTTTTAAATAATATTTAATACTATTAAGGGGACCGGCTACAATAAAAATCGGAAATTTTGGCTTTACCGTTTTCTTGACTCATTTTGTAGCTGCTGAAAAGGCGCGTCTAACGCAGTTTACCGTATGTCTGTGCGTGCTATAATTTTTGCGGAAGACAATTTTAAAAATATATATGAAAATTTTTTAACAATATGTACAAAGATTTATTTGAATTAAATCTGTATATATAGATCATTACTCTCATTAATTACAAAGTGTTTGCACTCGTTTGAAAGCTACAAACGAGACGCGTACAACAAAGCTACTACCATAGATGTACATGCAATACTTTTTTGTGTAATACAGTCTTGACCTTTTATAAAATGATCATTTTATATCATTATTTACAAATAAATGGTATTTATATGTCATTATTCAGGTTAATGCAAAGTGTTTGCACTCGTTTGAAAGCTACAAACAAGACGCGTTTACCAAAGCTACTACTATGGATGTTCATACAATAGTTTTTGCGTAATGCAGTTGTAAAGTTATGTAAAATGAATATTTATATATATATTTATATTTAAAAAGTCCCATTTATAGCCTATTATTCACGTTAAATTGAACATAAATAGATCTAAAGACGCGTGCTGGTACCTTGAATGCAAATAATTGGCAATGGGAAAGCTTGGGCTACAATATCAAGACTTTTTGGGCATATTCTTCTGTTTTCAATGAATTTTACTTTATTTGGCACCCCTGAACAATTTAAAAATCCAAAAAACGCCATCTTAGAAAAATCATAACTCCAACAGTTTTCAAGCTACGGCAATGAGAGACATACCATGTATGTCTCTCATTGAGACATACCATGTAACAATACATAGCGACTCTAGAAGTTTCTTTTTATATGTGCATGGTTTGACTTATGTATGGGAGGGGGAGGAAGGTGGAAGGGTAAAAATGTGAAAAAATGGGAAGAACCCGAAAAAGAAACGATGAGGAAAATAAAAAATCGGGGTTCTACAGTCGCTAGATATTGTTGTTACAAATCGAATGTGTCTCGACATTGTAGCATGTGATTTGCAGAAGTTATAAACTTTTTTAGAGTACCCCTTATGTGCCGTTTTCTACTAATTCCACGTTTTCTTTCATTTTTTTTTTAAATTTACATGAACAAAAAGGTCTTAGATTTCTGTTTTACATAAGTGTACCAAGTTTCAAAACGATCCGTCTGTAAACAAAAATGTTTTGTTGGAGGGTAGCCGGTCCCTTTAAGTAAAATCTAAAGGCTTTATCTATAAATGTAGCGGTAGCGCTGTAGCGGCAAAACCTCGTATCGCTACTTAAATATGTAGCGGGCGCTACCGCTACCGCTACATTGCCTTAAATGTAGAGCCGCTACCGCTACATGTAGCGCGCTACTGCCCCCCTCTGTGTATAATATATATTGATAATTCATCAAACATTTCTCATGCAAAAATGTTTTGTATAACTAAAACAAAGAAATCTGTTCCTTATATCTGACGCATCTAAATGCAAAAAACCTGGTAATTAGAACCTGTTAAACTTTGTTCCCAAAAACAAGAACTTTGGAAGCATCGAAAAAGTAACAAAACATTTTGTTTCATTCCATCAATCTGATTCAGAGCTCTTAGTTCGCGCTTGACGGTCATACGTGGAAACAGAAGCCACGTAAGATGTTGACCTTGTAACATCAAAATTCAAATGAAAGTGTTGGTTCTGCGCAAATCTACAATTAAGCATGGACCATGGACTTAATAAATTAATCCACCAAATCACCTAAATAGATTTTCTAATTATTGAAATTAGCGTTGCAGAGAACTAAAATTAGTTTCTCTTTTGTAGCCTTCTCCTTCGTTTTGGACTGAATACATGTCACATTATTGCTACAATAAGACGCGGATTTAAAGTTAGTGCTAAAATACCTCAAATAGGTAACTGCATTATCCAGACATAGGCCCGTATCCTAAATAGAGCACTAGCACTACGAAGTAGCACTACGCACTACAAGCCGTAGTGCCGTACTAGTGCGACAAGGAACACTACGGTTGACATGCTAAATAAGGCACTAGCACTATGAAGTAGCACTACGCACTACAAGCCATAGTGCGGCATGGAACACTACGGTTGGTATGCTAAATAGGGCACTAGCACTATGAAGTAGCACTACGCACTACAAGCCATAGTGCGGCATGGAACACTACGGTTGGTATGCTAAATAGGGCCAAAAGCATAACGCGCACTACAAAAATCTGAAGTGTCCTACACACCGCACTTCACGACGACACTACGGTATATTTAACCTTGTTTACTTCGTCAGCTATGTATCTGTTTGGCTTACAGCAAAGGCATCATCGCGTAAAAACCTCAGGAACAGCATGCCATGAATATAAAAAAGTGTACCGCTTCAGTGAACAATGTGTTATTCCTATGGCTGACATTTTCCTTGGCGAAACAGATGAACAGCGTAGACGTAGAAAATACTTTTCTTGTTTTTGATACCATGTTTTGAATTTTCTTTTTTGTTTTTTTTTCTGGAGTCATTTTGAATTCTTCTGCAAGAACTTTCCATGCTTCTCTCTTTTGTTCGATGTCTTTGGGAAGCGTGGCCTTTGAATATATATATGATGGGAAAGGTGCGCAGACGCATTGCGAATTTCAGCTCACCATCACAATTTTCACTAGTACCATTATATACCATCACAATTAGACACTTTACATCAATCTTCTGCAAAGAATGAGAATTACTTAGGGAACAATTAATTATTTGAGCACCTAACTACCATTCTTCAATAGACTCATACCGTAGTGCGGCACTATAAAGTACTCTAACAGCGAAGTAGCACTTCAAAGTCTTTCTGCATACGAATCAGTAGTGCGACACTAAGCGACACGAATCATTGTAGAGCTACTTCGAAGTGCTTAGTGTCTGTGACGTATTTAGCATACCAACAGGACACTTCGTAGTGCATAGTGATACTTCGTTGTGCTAGTGCCCTATTTAGCATACGGGCCAATGTTGGTTCAATTGATCCTTGACAACAGCCTGAGACCGGTGAGGGTACCCTCATCACGGAGACCTTGCAGAACACGGACCTCATGAAGAAGCTGAAGGAAGGTACAGAAGCGACAGCGGTGCTCGTTGGGGCGGTCGACTTCCTCAAGAGTCCTTCCATCGTCTTCGTCAGGCTTGCCGAGAGCGTCATGACGGACAACCTTGTTGAGGTGAGAATGCCCATCAGTTGCAAATTTTTGCGAATTCGCAAAACCATATATACGTTAAAGGCGATTTGTGTGATGAAAATGCACTGATTGTCTGATGCATCGCAAAAAGTATCGTTGAGAAGACAATTATGCTAACATGAGTAGATTCAATGACTACTTCCATATAATTTTTATCATAGCTTTGCTTACTTCCCTTTTCGGATTTGGACATTACCACTTTTGTCATCAAAACTACTATTTGTATGAACCAGCACCGTTTTCAATTACTTCGGAGGTTGGTTTTACAATTGTTTCAATTAGCCAAAAACTAACCTACATTACTAAACCCTGTGCCCTCGTTTATTTGTTTCAGTTTAGTGATAATTTCGCATATAACTTTATATCGCGTATTTCCGTTAATCAAACATATCAGTCCGTTTGCTGCTAGTTGCTACTAAGTCTCTTGTGGTGTTGGCCGAATTTTTCGCCAGGTTCCATTGCCTGTTCGCTTCATATTCGTCCTGCTGGGGCCGTTTCATGGCGAGATGGATTATTATGAAGTGGGACGATCGATTTCTACGCTGATGTCAGACCAGCATTTCTGTGAGGTTCGTCCCTGTTAACCCTAAGGACTCAAGAGATGCAAAAGATTTATTGCAAATTCATTTTTCTATCTTCAAAATTATTATTAAACAAAGTTCATCCTTTTCAACCTTATTTGGGTTGTCCTTTGCAGAATATCTTTGAATACTAATTATTACTAACCGAAGCAATTATCTTTGTAGACTAAACACGTCTCAATGCCAATTCCTAAGCCGTACCCGCTGCCTCAAACGAGGAGGCGTGTAAATATAACAGCAACATCAATGTAACCATCCTCGGTTTTGAATACGCCCGAGTCTATTTACATTGGCACTACTCGTTCGGTGAGAAATGCTCACCATTGGCACTATACACGTTCGGTTACAGCGCATTCGCGGCGCTTGCTGTGAAGGGTAGCGAGGCTAAAGCTTCACACTAAATTTTAAGCCAAAAATATTTTGTACGCCGAGCAATATTCAACATACATTCAAAGAAATACAGGCTGAAATTTAGAGTCAGAAATAAAGCCCGACGAGGCAGCCTAATGACGGATGTCGAGGAGCGAGAGAGTACGACAGAAAATAAGTTTCAGATTTGGAGACGCTGTTCACAGTTCAGCTCCGGCGCTAGTTAGGCTATGTACATTTGCTGTGGCGGGGTACGCAGCCGTCTTCACCAAAATTGTGCACCAAGCAGCCTTGAAAGGAACGCCTAGTGCTCAGATTTCCGGATGACCACCAATCAGCCGCGGATCAAGCCATCCATCAGTAACCAGCCCATGAAATCAGCTGGCTTTAAATATTAAGAGCTTTACGCCAACATATTCTGAAGCGAATAGCCCAGACAGTTATGGTTGTCCACCACTGAACGTTGCATCGAATACTCTACCGCCCACTTCACACCCTGACTTTGACTCGAACTGTAATTAGCTGACAACGGACTGCGACCAACCAGCCCGGCCCAACAGGAACTGCATGAATCCTGCCGTTCACCACCAGACGGTCGCTTTCAGCTCAAAACATCCGGGGTTAAGATTCAGAAAGCATAGTTCTGTTCCAAAATCTATCGTCCGCCGACGAGTGACTTCCGCAGCTTCGTTAAATTACGTAACTTTTAGCTTACAGCATCTGGGTTGAGTTTCAGATAGCAAAGTTCTGTTCCAAAATTTATCTTTCTACGACGCATGGCCGTTCGACCGTAGGCTGATTCGACACACGGGACAGATACGTACAGCTCCGGCGCTCACCGTTCATGTGGCAGACGATGCTGGGCCATTCTACGTCAAGCTATTTTCCTGTGGGCTGATTGATCTAATTCAGTGGATGTGATCTGTCTGGTGGCTTGCGGCTGATAATGTTACAGTCAAAAAGTATTATGGGCTACTTCTTGAGGGAAAGGATCATGATAGTCCATTCGAAGCAAGGCAGTGGTGGTCTCCGACAGGCGTCCCCTCTGGCGAGTCCATCATGCCATCAAGCAACACTACCCAAACACCTCTGGCTCAAACCAGATCAAAACTTGTGCTGAATTGGCCTTGACCTAGTGCACGGACGGCAGTGAAAATGGTATTTTGTCGACGCCGGTTTCTTAAAAACTATGACGTATTCTCTCGCCGCGATCCTCATCAATCACAAGGTAACTACATTCATATCATACCCACATTTGAATTTATCAGCATTTACACCCGTTTATCGCGTGCAGGAAATGAGAAAACGTAAATTTTTACTCCAAAATATGTCGAAGTTACTTCCAAAATGTAGAAGTTACCGACATGTACCTCATTAGAGAAAGGAGAATAAATTCGGACATAAATTTAAAGTTTCGAACGAAAGGTCAACCCAGAAAGAGCATGACTGAATTTTGTTAGCAACTCAAAAATGCACAGCAAATTCTGGAATATTTTTGTACGAGTTTAATTTTATTCGATATTACTGACAAATAATAATTTATAAAAAAATTAATAGTGGAAACTGGGTCAAAATTTATGGAGCAAACGTATATGAATGAGTTAATTGCTTGTGTTCAATCGACACCACTTACTTCAGATCATAGTTGCAATGCCTTACGAATAACTTCTCATGGTGAAATAGTTTTCGAAGATGCTTCATCTTCCTGCAATAGCTTATTTACTTTAATTAATATATCATGAACCAATTTCATTCTTTGGACAACGCATGATAAAAAATTTGCGTGTACTTTCACGATTTTATTTGAAATCTAAAAATAATTTCCCCCTACTTCCCATCAACTATAACAGCTACTGTATGTTGGAAATTTTACGGAAATTTAGCAGTAAAATAAGCATTGGCCTAGCCCCCGAATACGATAAACTTTTACAACAGAATAAATGCTCATGAAATACAGCGAACATCAAGGAAAGTTTTTCCAAAGATGAGCTCTTTACTGCAGTTCATCCCTAAACCATGTAGCTATTTCTAAAATTATATTTTTTTCTGAAATTTCTTTGTGGGTAATGTTCTAGCCAATTCGCTATAGAAGGTAATTACCGGTATGTGATAAAAAATATAATGATGGGATTTTTTTTATTTTCCTGTCCTGAAACTTGATCAAGAAAATCCAGTACAAACGGCATCAATCATTCTACTTGATGATGCAAACTTAAAAGCTTATGTAGCCGCTTATCGTACGAAGGGTTCAGGCTGAAAATAAAATGCTATTGTTCCGTAATATGAAGAATTAGATGTTCTTTTCCATTGATGTATTTCACAAATTTTGCCTGAACTTATAAAAAAATTATGACAAATATGGCCACCTAAACAAGATTTTCATTCAGAAAGTCTTCTCAAATTTCCCCCCACATTCTTACCCTGAAATGTCTTGCAATGTTCGACCGACGTGAGTTTTGGCTAGTCAATTTGCGGGGCAAAAACTCTTCTTTCTGAGGCTCTGAGCCATTACCGTATCGTTTTCTCGGCCCATTCCGGTTGTTGTAGGCTCTTCCTACATCTGCTCTGGCGTTATGCTGAGTTAGAGATCGATGGTTTGTCATTCTTGCATAGCTTTCTGAAACCGCACATATAAAAATTGTCACATTTATAGCGTCATACCGCCATACCGATATGAAAGCAAGCCAGCAATGAGAGAGAGGTCCCAGAACGGTAGAGCTAGCTCGGTTGATAATCATCGACAGTTAAATACTAACTGGTCCAGCCTTCAACTAGCAAATGAAGCAAATCTCAGACATCTCGGCACATCTTTTATAAATGATGCACATCTCATTTATAAACGGCAAATATACATATGCTATGGAAATATTTAAACGATAGTGCTAACGTTAAAATTTAGAATGTATATCGAAAATTGGCTGTATGTTTTTCATTCACTCATCGGAATTTATTGAATTGTAATTTATTTCCAGGTTGCATATCGCTCTCACTCTCGTAGCCAGTTGTTGTCGGCCATTAACGAATTCTTGAACGCATCCCTCGTACTTCCCCCTGCCGATTGGACCAACACGGATCTCATCCCACTGCACAAAATACGGGAGAAGGCGCAAATAATGATGAAACGGAAACTGACGCTTCGCAGGAAACGCCTAGCGGCTGAGCCTCGTCAGTATTTCTCCACCAATCATCTCAAATAATCATTTAGCAACAATTTTTTACTGTAATTATTCAATTGAAACTATTTCGGTAAACCTTAAAAAATATAGCCTGCAGGCCTCTGACTAATGGATGATATCTCTTTTACTCGCTAACTTTGCAGAAGTGTCGTCTGATCAGCCTGTGAAGCATCAAACCGACGTGTGCGACACGGACAAGGAAAAAGTTGATCCTCCACGAGACCCCATGAAGCGCGTTGGCAAACCTTTCTACGGCGTCTACATGGACATCAAGTCGCGTCTACCCTTCTATCTCAGCGACTTCAAAGATGGACTAAGCCTTCAGGTCCTTGCCGCTTCAATCTTTATCCTCTTCGCCAGTCTTGCTCCAGCTATCACTTTCGGAGGTTTATATGGTGGGTTTCGATCACCATGTATACCTAGTAAGGAACTTTTTATTCTTCTAATTTTATATTAGAAATTTGCCAATCATCTTTATAGTTTCTAAACCGCTTTGATTTCAGTGGCATATATAGTGAGTTTGTGCCTGTATGAATTACTTATAAATGCTGATTCACATTCTTCAAGAACATAGAATGGTTCAAGATACATCAGTTTGTAAACTTTTACTAGCAAACTTAGAAAATTTTCTTGAGTCCTTATCTTTGATTGTTAGGAGGAAATTAGAAAGTATATATATATCATTTCATCGCATTTATAACAGCTCTCAAGACGAACAAGAAGATCGGCGTTGGTGAGACACTCATCTCCACCTGCATCGGTGGGGCCATAATCTCCTTATTTGGCGGCCAGCCGCTGCTCATCATCGGGGCGACTGGCCCTCTCATGGTCTTTGACATGGCACTCTATTCGGTAACGTCACCGGAAACTTCGTTTCAATTTCAGTCGAAGTGTGACTGCTGGTCAAACGAAAGATGTTGAGAACGTTCGATTTTTTTTTGACAAATAAGGTTGTTCTTCGTCTCTAATTTCACCGCATCTTTACAATCTAAGAGTTATGCGATCGCATTAGTTGAACGAACTGGTGAAAAAATGTATATTTACTGACAACTGTTAGAAATATTCGCTAACAAATAATATTTTTGTACATTATTACCCACGCTAAACAGATAAAAATTAGAGCATTTGGCTTATTTTATCGTCATTATGTGTAACAGACGATGTGAATACAAACTGTCCTGTAGGCAAATAAGAAAAATACGTGAGTTCAAAATAATTGCATTATAAAACCACTAACTGATCAAGCAAAAGCAATATTAGCAGTGGAAAAAAGAGTGGTGAACGAAATGCCTCTGAGCTTGGGACGTGTTTACATTTCAAGCAATTATACTCACTATTTCAAATTCTGGCAGCACAATACTCGAACGAGGTCGTATTCCACCATGGAAACGTGAATAATCCATTAACGGGAATATAGTAGGTAAAACTCTTCAGACGCGTTGACAGTTTGACACCCAAGTAGAGATGCGACGTAAAAAAAACACTCATGTTTTTTTTAATAAAAAACAAGTTTTTTTTAATAAAAAACATCAGCCTAAAAAAAACATGTTTTTTATTGTTTTTTTTTTAGAAAAACATAAATAAATGCAAATTAATCCATAATCACTTTACCTGAGGGCCACAGGATGATAGGTGACAGGTCTATGCTGTATCTTAAAATTCCTAATATCATTGAATGACAGCAAAGTCATTGGTATTGCATCATAGCTACTTGCCTATTGCATCATCTTTCAATAAACGTAGCAGGTGCAGGCTGCCAGGCGGCGCCGCGTCCCGCGCGGCTTGTTAAATCGTCCTTGCATATTGCATCATAGTGAGAGTGTGAGACTCATACATCACCCTTGACTCCACAGGTTGATGCATTCTAAGTCCTAGATGAAATTGCAACTAGCATGCCATGTGTTAATGGCGGCAAACTTTTTGGAGAGATTGCAGACTACCGATCAAAACAGAAACTATTTCATAAGCCATACATCTGAAATGCTGTGAAACACACCACACCATCGACTTGGTGGTCTGGCTTGTGTGGCTCCACAGAACTATCAAAAATCGCCAGTCAGATACTGAACTTGCCTCCCACAAGTGCAGCTGTTGAACGCTTGTTCAGCAGGCACTCGCACGTGCACTCAGCGAAGCGGAATAGATTGACAGCAGAGAGGGCGGGCAAATTGGTGTATATAGGGCATAACCTACAATTGATCAATGAAAAATTTGTTTATTTACCCTTTTAAGCTTTGAACTAGAAGTATTAGGCTTGATAAATTATAAATCACACATGAGATATGTTAAATAAGATTTAAAAACACATCATTTCAATGTATATTAAGGGTATAGATATATTGATCCCAAATAAATACATGAAAGAAAAAAAACAATAAAAAACAAAAAAAAACACATAAAAAACGTTTTTTTTAACTAAAAAAAAACACTCTGGAAAAAAAAACGTTTTTTTTGCATCTCTACACCCAAGGATGCGTAATGATTACGTAGGACACAAGAAAGAAGTACTGAGAAGCAACAACAGAGTGGGCTTTAATTTTTAGTTCGTGTTATGACTGGGCAATTGTAGTTAACTTTATATATTGAAAACGATAAATTACCAAAGTAAATGACTAACAAAGTAATTCTATTACTAACCTTCTAAATTACTGCCGCTGCTCAACTTAGAAGTGGGATGAAAACCGTTGAGAGGTGAAAATTGATTTGGTCATTTCGAACATTTTCAGTTATATGGCACTGCAGACAAATTTTTTTAATGCATAATATTATGACTCGATCCTTTCATCCAGAAGCCACAGCATCGACAGACATTTCATTCGATTCGTCATACAAATATCTCTTAACTACGGAAATTCGTTTTTCCTCATAGAAGGAAAACGTAAGGATTTCGGGGGTGAAGGCAGGGGCTAAAAAAATCTAAATGTGCAAAAAGAACTTAGAACGAATTTTAAGAAAAGGCGCTCTGACTTCATCAGGCATTATTGTCATGCATACAATACTATTTTTTATAGAATCTTAGTTATGGCACTGTATTTTTTTAACTTTTTTTGCATGACCTCGAGGCAGTTATTTGATTTAAATATTTAGTCCGTATTTACTTTCTAAACATTTTAATGCGATTAAAAATACTACTTAAGATGTACACTATTGTTCTCACAGTTGGCAGATTCGATTGGAGAAGAATTCCTAGTGATGCGGACGTGGATCAGCATTTGGCAGACGGTGTTCGTGATCATCATCTCGGCTGTGGAGGGCGTGACGGTCGTTAAATACATCACACGCTTCGTCGAGGAGATTTATGCGACATTAGTCTGCGTCATCTTCATCTATGAAGCCATGGAAAAACTCGTCTACATCTTCATTGCACATCCGCTGCTCGCCGAATATTGTTTCGGTGAAAACGGCATCATGACGACCATGTGAGTGATGAATAATAATCTCTCGTACGATGATAACAGCCCTCTTGACGTGAATGCGTGCTCTAATCTGCCGTATTCATGGTAATAACAGATATTTGTTGAACTTCGAGGAAAAGTGTTCTTTACGCATAAAATTAAATTTATTTTATTAGTTATTACGCACCAAATGAACGACATGCATGATTAGATGTTTGCATGCTTTCACGAAAGACCAGTCAGTGATAACCAGAAAATATTTTTGAAGTTATTTTTTGAGTTCAATTAGCATTTAACTAACGAATTCATTGAAGTGCAATATTATTGCAAGAAAAGTTTTACGACTCAAAATTACTCTCATTCTTTTCTATACGCGTTTTAGTGTTAACAACGATTCAGTCAATGAATGTAAATGAGTGTGCCTTCCGCATTGTTTTTCTCAAATAAAGTTTTTTTAATTGGATTATTTGGTACCCTTTCGCATTTTTTCTATATCTTCCCTAGAACATATAAACATTAAAACATCGTTCATTAGTTTTGTATTCAGTGCAAACGCATCTTATGTGGAAAAATTCTATTTGAATTATAGACTCCTTGATTTTTGCCTTGAGTGATGATATGACTTTTGTTCAGAACGTTTTTTCTCTTAATTCAAATATTATAGTATTCGATTATTTGTTAAACAATATCTTGGACCATCTTTAGCGGCCAAAATAAATTCATTTTGTTGAAGCTGATTTTATATTTTTGTCAACAATTAAAAGCTCAAGTAGCCTATATGTATATTAGTGGTACTTATTGTTTCAAATATTTTATTGAACCAATATTGATTGAAATCAGCAGTTATGAGGAACTAAAATTAATTAAAAAATATAAAAATTTAATTTGGTTGAGCTAGCAATCTCCGAAAAAAATGTTTTTCTAAATATATTGCCAATATTTATAATATGCTAATCACTCTCAAGTAATGAATTTGTATATCACGATATTTGTAACCAATGATTTATTTGTCAAATCATCAAGTTCTTGTCTTAGCTCAGTCTGTTTTGCCTAAATTAACTGTGTATTACCGATAGTTCGAAAAATATATACATAAAGCTGGTTAAGCAGTTAACAATGATCGGTATAGTATATAATAATGTTCACTAATATATACTGATTATTGTTAACTGAATTGTTAACGAGTATGCTGATAATGCAGTCATCAGATTAATATTCGTGTGTTATTGATAATATTTCCGGCTGCCAGTTCTTCACTGATCACCACGATGATGCCTGGCATGAGCGAAGTCGTCGAGCTCGGCAACATGACAGCATCAGACCGGGAGGCGTACATGTAACTACATATCGTGGTGTTATTGTTACCCTTGCTTTTATTTCTATCTGACCTAATACTGATTTGAGTTATACTGCCCTAGTTACCGTCAAAACTTCAACTGCTCTTGCCAAAAATTTCATTGATGTTCCGATTGCTATTTTATTGTATGCAAAATTGGAGACGCCTCGTTCTTTGAAATTCATTATTATTAAACATTCCTTCGTCGATATGTGCAACTTCTCGTGCATTACTTCCGTAAACCAATTCATGTGTATAGGTACCTGACGAATGTGAAGATCATTTATATTATCCACTTAGATCCCTAGCAACGATTTCATTCAATTTTCTTTAATAAATGGATTTTGATTTCATTACTTTAAGGCAGCTCTAACATCCAGACATTTCTAACCAATTGATAGCTTTAATAATTAACGCAGGTTCGCGTCCACCACCGAGGACGTGATGCAATCTGGAGCGTCTGACGATACGGACATGTTCACCATGAACCCGATGAACATGACAGAAGATTATTTGAACATGACCAAAGCCTCCACAGCCTCATCTCGTCCTAAACTTCCACCACAACCCAACACTGCCCTTCTCTCCCTGTTACTCATGTTCTGCACATTCATCATCGCCACTAGGCTCAAGAAATTCCGAAACTCGAAGTACCTCGGGCGTCCGGTAAGCATTAAAAATTGGAGGATGGATAGGTTCATTCACTTCTCAAACATCATTCTTGAAATAATGTTCGAAATATGCTCACAAGCAATACGTTCAAGTAAACCTTAAAATTTGATCCCGTTTCATAACTTACAAATTTCAGCTAAACTAAAAAAATATTACCTTTGAAAGTTAATAAATTGAAGAAAATTTAGAGCTAATAAAATGTTAGGCAAAAAATGAACACTAGAAGTCTGGAAAACAAATAATTTTGAAACTTTTCAACGAAAGAATGATGAATATACTTGACATTATTTTTGTTTCTGCTAGGCTCACAAATGTATAAATATAAAATAATCAGTAATTTGAGCCATAGGATTTTGAATTTGGAATAATAAGACTTAATTTTATCCCATAGGATCGTAACTTTGAGGCTTATTATGGCCACTAGGAGCATAATACGGTAAATTTTGCATAGAGAATCATGATTATGAGTCCGAAAAGGGGAAAGTTTAGGTAAAAATCTTTTATTTTTTCCTGTTTCTGAGCTCATATTCTAGCTGAGGAAAAGGCGCGTCGAACCCAATATATCGTATGTATGCGGATCCTTTAGTTTTTGTGTAAGGCAGTTGCAAATTTATATTAAATGAAATGTTTTTATTATTCTTGTAGAAATATTTCTTTATGGAAAATGGTATTTATACGTTATTATTTGCACTAAACTGCATAACGATCGGTCAAGCGGCGCATGATGGTACCTCAATACAAGAAATATTCGATGGAAAAGCTGGGGATACAAGCAAATTTTTTAACCTTTACTTCTTTTTTAATCTATTAAATTATATGTCTCTCCTGAATAGTTTAAATCGCAATTGTTCGCATTATTTAAAACCTATCTATCTTTTAATTTTCAAGCTACAAACCTATCAAACTTTTGATGGTAGTTAGCTTCTGAATTGAAGACGCCTTAAGCTCGCCCAGCGCTTCAATTATCGGCTCGATGCCCGCTTTACGTTCTGGTTATAGGAGCGAAATGAGCTCTGATTAGAATCCGGTCGCAGACTGAGCGAGCTTGGGGCGACCGTGGGGCACGCGTATTTGGCACCTGGTAGCTTCGGCATGGACACGGCCGAATCTGAACTGTGTGTTAAAAGAGCCCCCTCCCTTCCCTCATATACATATGTGGGAAAGGCAGGGGGCATTTGAATGGCTGTACGCACTATGTGTATATGTGCAGACAAGACGGAAACAAAATATGTATCACTGTGGCAAAATTAAGCAAATGGCAAGGAAACACAAACTTGAACCGGGAATAATATCAGTCAATACAACTTTCCAACCTACCTTTCCACATTATCCACAACATTCACTAGTATTTACCAGAATGAAAGATTCTCCCACATTGCCCGAACAAAACAATCTCTAATATTCAACAGCACTCGACATATTCACACGTTGCCCATACACACACATTCTTCAACATTCACTTGCACTCAACGATCAATATTCTCAAATATTCAACACCGTTCAATATTATACCATATTATCCGCATACAAAACATGCCACCCCATTCACTGGTGCCATATCCCTACCTATTGAGGGTACCAAACATTACCTTTACCTCATACAGAAGAGAAAAAAATTCACCTTAACCAGTATTTAAACCTTCTCTCATATCCACCAGTACCAAACAATCACATACACTGTTGAACATTCTTCCTAAATACCATTCCTAAATACCAAAGTTCCTAAATACCGAAGTTCTCCCAAAATATTTGAAAAGAGCCTAGTGTATCTACCGGGCTTGATTTTAATCATTTCAACAAGGCGCAGATTCAATATGGTAGCTAATTCCTGTGTTTCCAGGTACGAAGTACATAAATAGTAATTAATTGTTCGAGGTAATGAAATTCAGGGAGAGACGAGACCAGCGGGGATTCACATCCAGTGTAATTTGCTATCGACTTGTTATCTCACGACACGTCACTAAGCTGTTTTGCGCAAGTCCATCAAATTCTGCCTACGTTGGTTGTAAAGAAAAATAGCTCACTTGCTACCGTCGAAATTCCAGTTGGAATTTGTGACCTTCCTAACATTGCCATGTTCAATGGCAAGTTCGGAAATTTATCCTCCAATAATTTAATTTTTCGAAAATAATCCAATTCAAAACACTTCGATTTCATTTTGGTACGAAAATCAGAATGAAATACAGCGAAGGCAAGCACATATTCACAGAAAACGATCAACTTGGTTACTTACGACTACGATTTGTATCCTTGACTGTACGTCTTTCTCTTGCAGCGGCTCGGTGACTGATAAAGACTAAACCTAACCACGCAGTCGAACTGTAAACTGAGTTTGCATTTCCACATATGAACTCAGCTTTCTTGATGATTTAAAATTTAGAATCTTGAATATTTGTAAAAAGCAGCTAAACTAACACGTTCATGTCAAATGATACCTCAAGTTAAAAATTGCAATTGCTGGCAGCGCCAAAATCTTTGAAGCTCAACTGAGTATTCTAGAATACTGGCATCATTGCGCCATGCCGACTATTCTCTCAGTGCCGTTGCCGCTGTCGTGACTCGTGTTTTTCAACGAACTCCACTATAAAAACATTTTTCAGGAAAGCTAATAAATTATTAGTTTCTAATAATTATCAGCTTTTAAAATTTACTATTTTTAAATAAAATAATATACAACTTCACTTTTCCCACTATGATTACACGAAATGAGCAACATTCACCGTTCCACATCTGATCATCACTAGTAAAACACGTGAACTGCTGCCGGCATGGCAATTTGGCAAAAGTCAAACGTGTAACGTCGTGTACGCATCTACCCACAACCACTCTCTCCAGCTGCATCTCGTTTAATTAAGTGAACCGTACCACAATATAATACAATTGTGAACCTCACCTGAAAATATTGAAATTTTGTAGACCTTGTTTGTATAACTGAAAATACATTGCTCAATGCCTGTCGTCAGGCAATGCCCTGAAATCACAATATCAAGCAGTTTCATTCAAAAATCATAGTGAGCTGAACATTTATTAATAAAGAACTTGTAGGGCCTTAATACAAAACCGAACGCATTTGCACCTGAATAATCTCTAAGCCGAGTCGATGGAACTCGGGGCGACCCTGAAGGGAATCCGAAATTCGACTGTTAACATTGATGACATATCATTCGATTTAGAGATAGAATATCTAGTGCCTCTAGAATCCCTCTTTTCTGATTTATCTATTGTTTTAATCATATATTTAAGAATGGGGAAGGGAAAAAATGAAAAAATTTAAAAAAATAACATTAACAAAAAATTTTGGGAAAAGGCTCAGAGAGTCGCTAGATATTTGCATTACGAATTGAATGATATGTCTCGATGTTTTGGCACGCAAATGAAATAAAGAGATTTCTAAAATTACCTCTATTACCAACTAAAACTAAATTCAACTTAAATTTCTCGCAATAAACATTTTACATATATGTATGAAGTTTCGGAAAGATCGGTCAGTTAATAAATAATTTTTTTTTCGACCCAGAAGTTCCCCTTGATACAGTCATTCCAAACTTTATAGTACACGCAATGCAAGTGGTATACAAGCTAGGGCGTTATAGTTGGTACGATAACGCGCTCGAGGTATGAACGATATGTATTTGGTTATGTTTGGTAATCGGAGCGCACTTATTTGCACTGAAATTGTGGCAGCTCAAAGTAAGATAATCAGCAACAATTTACCAGTGTTGCCACATGCCACCTACGTATCTCGTCACAGTGGCATATTGTTAAATTTAAACTGTACTTAATTCGATAATGGCGAATTGAATGTACAGAAGAACATCTGAATAATTGAAAAACTACTAATACTAGATAACGGCTTCTTTTGTGGTAGTATGTACGTTAGGTATACGGCGAGTACCCCACTGCTTGTGCAGGCTATCCGAGTGTTGCTCGATTACAAATAAAGTTCGGAACCAATGTGAAAAATATAGAAGTCTAAGAAGGTCAAGAACGGGATCTAGCTCATTGTTGAAAATATTGTGCACCAATATCAGCAAAATATGATCATCGAAACTAGCACTAGTAATTTTTCAGCAACTGAAGCATGCTGAGTTAGACGGAACAATGTCAATGCATGAATTTATAAGAAAGGTCCATGCCGATAACAAAGTGAATGCTTTTATTCTAATATCAATTATTTATGCGAATAATTATTTAAATCGATTGCATTCAACCTATATGGAATATTTATTGATTGAATGCTTCATTGTTGTAATATGTGTCTGAATATGGCCGATCAATAAGGAAGAAAACATTGTCATTGATGCAGATTCGTCGGTCTCTGGGTGACTTCGGCGTGCCCATTGCGATCGTGTCCATGGTGCTCGTGGACTACTTCATCAAGTACACCTACACGGACAAGCTTACCATGCCACCGGGAATCCAGCCCAGTGACCCTTCCTTCCGAGGATGGATTATTAACCCCTTCGGCGAGCATAAACCCATCCCCATTTGGGTAATTTTCATGTGCGCTCCTGCCTCCCTGCTGATCTTCACGCTCATCTTCATCGAAGCGAACATCAGCCAGTGAGTTAAGCGGGCTTATGAAATTTTGTAGCGTCTTAAACGGCTGAAGAAAACAATATATTCTTAATTTGAGCTACGTTACTGTTGGAAAGATGAGAAATATGTGACGATCATCACCATCTAGCTCAGAAATTCTTTTCGGTGTTGTTTTTCGGGTCCGTACCATACAGTTTAAACTCGATCACTCTACACTCATGAGATAACTGATGACAAGTAATTATTCTAAGGTTTGGAATAGAAACAAGTACCTGGGAGTCAGTTTCCCTGCATCTCTATCCATTCATAGATACCTACCAAATGCGGAAGAGCATCCGTGGGCCTCAAGATTAACATTTAAAATGAGCCCTGGTGCCATGCATCGTTCAACCTTAGCATACAGTAACTCCATTCAGCCCACAGCTAAAATGCTGCAGACTATGCATGCCGTAATCCTGACCAGTGACACTTTTCAAGATAAAAGCTCGGTAAAAGCCAATACTCAAGCATGCTCTCTCATAAGCAGGCCTATTAATTCCAGCCTAGCTTCTCCTGGCCCAACCTATTCACGCAATAACCTTTCAGAATATGACCGGTTCTACTCGCTCACTTGCCTCACCTCTCTAATTTCATACAACCAATGAGGCTTGGTTAAGTTCGCTCAGGTTGATTTTTGATGGAGTAATGCTGCAAGGTGATTGGGTCAGGCCAGATGCAGTATGATCATAACATAACCTAGTAATGCCGTTGTTGAAGAATATGCCGGGTTGGCCAGTCAACAATGCTTATAATACTCTTGAGTTGTCTCCGCGAGACCTGGGGACTGGCCGTCTGACCAGATCTATCCTAATTAAGCCAATTAGGTGCAGGACATCCACCAATTTGTGAATGGGAGGCACTTGTAGTCGAAATCTATACTCCCGAATGACTTCATCTCGTCATTCTAGTGTATTCTTGAACGCATTTATACTCGGCTGCACCGCACTCATCGCCAACGATGTCATCAGCGAGATCGCTTCCAAATATCGGTGACTCAAAGCGAGAAGAAGTATTGTCGCATGGATGAGTTGCACCGCAGTTGTTTCAGTTTATAGTCGTGGCCCCTAGTGTTGGTTGTTGTTTGATATTCTAGTAAGCTTCCTGGAATCTTGTATATATATCACGAGTTTACCTGCATAAACTTCGATGAGGTAGCCACGCAAACGTCGACAACTAAGCTTCATAATCTATAATGTTCTCACAAGACTTGCCGTTTGAGCCTGGAATTATCCTCGTTGCACGGCTCTGAACACTATCAACTTAATTTGCGTCTTTCATAAAATTGGCTAACCACACAGCGTTTCAAAACTAAGTGCGGGCGTACGAGAGGGATAAACAGTGGCTTCATCGTTTCTGCAACTAGTAACTTGTAAGAGTGTCGGATCAGTAAAAGCCGTTTATTGGATATATTATTAACTTGCCCTTCAATATGCTTAGAAAATGTTAACTCCTAGATGACCTAAACACCAGAATCTTTTTCCACTGTCGATTTCTCAATCACTATTTCGTTGCAACCATGTCTTGTCATACTGTAAGCTTGCTGTTCATTGTTCCTACCAAGGTGAAGAAGTACTTCACACTTTTCAGCATTAAATCACAGCTGCCATTCATAAGCCCAGTCAACTAGGCTATCAAGATTATTTTGAATCTGTACTTTTTCCGACGCATACTTGACTTTATCATAAACTTTGGTGTCGTCAACATGCATGGAGCACACGCTTGATACTGCCTCCGACAGATCGTTTATGAACGCAATATCCTTGAATTCAATATAACCTTTGGTGTCATCAACATGCATGGAGCACACGCTTGACACTGCTTCTGACAGATCGTTTATAAACGCAACTAATAAATCAAGCCCGAGCACGCTTCCTTGTGGTACGCCGCTGAACACTGTTGCCCATTCTAACACAGCTTCATTAACTCTGACCCGTTGACGTCTGTCTAGTGTGTCTACCTACTAGTAACTAGAAGATCTCTGATCCATTCAGAAATTTCCCTCTATGCCCGAGGACTTTACTTTGCGTAATAGCCACTCGTATAGAACGATGTCAAATGCTCGTGCAAAATCGAGATACATTACTTCCAATGGTTCCTTTTCGTCAAGCAAGCGATTCTTGCTTAATCATGAGCATGCTTAAGCGGTGGCAGAGGACTCACTGCGGCTTTTATGGCTTTTAACACTAGACTTCATAGACTTTTACTGACTCAGGCGTACTTTAACACAGAAAGGACCATTAACTAAAAGGTTTAGTTGAGCAAAGCCTGGCCTCCAGCATGCGCCCTCAAAAAGTCACCATGTACGATGATATGCTGAGGTTCCATACTCGTTTTGTAAGTCCTATTTTTTTCTATTTCTCCAGACTGCTGATTTCTAAACCCGAGCGCAACTTGAAGAAAGGGTATAGTTTCCATTGGGATATCGTCGTTGTGACCATATGCAACGTTATTGCGGGTGAGAAAAAATAATTCTAAGTATATTATAGTTCCTGGTATACACTTCTTCTATCATTAGGTTGAATATTTAGAAGTGTCATTCCTTGTTAATTACTGATGCGTGTCCTCTAGTCGCATTTACTGTTGATGAGTACTATTTCATCTTGTTAATTGTGCCCCAGCGTTCCTTGGTGCTCCCTACATGACTCCCGCTGTTGTACGCACCCTGTCTCACGCGGCAGCTCTCGCCGTCCTGGATAGCAATGTGCCTCCTGGCGAGTCTCCAAAGGTTGTGGGCTATTTAGGTGAGTCGTTTTACTTGTTTGTAGTTTTCAGTTCATTCAGTAAAGCGTGATCCACACATTAAGCTTATAGTCAGTCTTGCACGTCATTCCAATTTTTACAGATGAGACTGTGCGTGTGGACTATATATATGACATTTTGCATGAAATTTTTAAGGTTTGACAAACCTTAAAGCTGTCTGACAAAAATAGTTCGTTCTGTTCTCTAGTCAGGAAGTATTTTAGAAGTTAAAAAATTTTTTTTAGAATTTATCTGATTTTTTGATAAGCACGACGACAGCACTAGTGTCATCAGTTACGAAATAAAATATTGCGGTACTATGTCGCATTAATAATGCGACATACATTGCATGTCGCATCCTTGAGATGATAGCTGCAGACCGTAATGGTAATTAGTTAGGCGTCAAGTACATTTAAAGTAGGTATAGTCTGTCTTTAGTCGGTCGGTTTATAGACGTGGTTCACTATTTTTTCACCTGTGTGAGTTAGGTCCGGGGTTTAAAGTGGTCATGATAGGTTGATGGTAGATTAGTTGCAGATTTAGATTAAAATGAGGCCAGGTGGCGGGATGAGAGTGCTGGTACACAATGATTAGTACCCCTAGTCCTCTGGCACTATATATAGTAATTAAAGACGAGTTATTTCGATGGGTATGGAAATTTTTTATGATATTAAAGATTTTGGATTTAGTTGCTCGATCGTCATGCAATTGCTTTAATTCTGTCAGGTTGGTTTCCGTAGTGGCTTACTTTAGGTGCGTATGTATAAGTTCTCGTATGGATAGGTTGGGCAAAAATCATAGAGGGTAACGGTGACAATGAATCACTGGTAAATTTCATATTAAATTTGAAAATTCTAGTTCCCATCCTTAGTTGAGAAAAGTCTCTAGTACATGAAAAAGAGAAGTCTGAACACAATCAAAATTGAAAATCTATCAGCTTACATCACTCAATCTTCCAAATTACCAGAAAGCGTTGATCCGTCGCAGTTCCGTTGAGTAGTACAACTGTCGTAAACGACCGTAATGTACGCACACGATTGCTGCCGTATTTCTAGAGGCCGTACAGCAGCTGTACCGCGCATCCCCGCTGGCGACGGTCGTTCATTCTCCATCGCCTTCGTGTCTCGCTGTTATAGATGTTTCATGGTCAGTCTGGCCGTAGGTTGTTTACTCGTACTGATCGTTTCATCGATGATGTTACTCAGAGCTCATTGCCGTACTTCTGCTGTTGGTGATCGTGGACCGTACTGCTATTGACGATGACTATGACCCTACCGCGCTAATGACCGTACCAATAATACAATTCTTGTGCAGTGTTCGAGACTTGAACCTTCATGATTACAGGCGTTCTAATCGTTGGACATCTCTTGGCTTCTCGCGTTGTCTTACGACTAAGTCACAACTGTAGCAATGAACGTTGACCGTACTAATAAGCGAAGTTACGGCCGTTACTCGTAGATTTCGGACGTTATTCGTTTTCTTGGATTTCGGACGGCGGCCATTTTTTTACCCCGACGTCCGGGTTCTGTCACCTGTGTCTGCGGAGATAGCTGCAGACCGTACTGACGTGACGGTCACATCCGTAGAACAACTGTTTGGCGCGAATTGTAGGGTCCTTATAAAGGCAGACATCTCGCACAGTCAAGCTTACCTTTCGATGTGACGCCGAATTCCTCAACTGATGGAATTTTCCTCGCGATTGGCTTGACAACGTTCAATGTAAACAACACCCGGTCCCACGGTCACGAAACAACCGCGTCCTACACACTCTATATCGCTTCCACCCATATTCCTATTCAACTCAACTTGCACACAAGCAATGTTCAATATTATTCATTGTATAAAACAAAGGCGGCATTATCTACGCTTTATTCAATAGCCTGGAAAGTTGAGGGCAAAGGCATCACCCTCGCAGGAAAGGGTTGATTGATGGGGGTAAGAAGTGCGAAAACACAATTATAAATAGTGAGGAAATGCAGGTGTATTGACAATAGAATTGTAAAAACAGAGGCACGGAAAAAGAAACGTTACAATATCCATGTGCCACGCACAAATAGTTGGGAGCCTGCTAATCCGGCAGTGTGAGAAGGTCCACATTTCTCAGCGGAACGTGTAGAAAAAACACGACGTGGCAAAGAGTGGCCAGAAAGAAGAAGCAGGGCATAAATGGAAAGGACAGTAGGAGATGAAAAAGGCGCAAGGTGCCTTTTTAATGGGAAGCTTGGGGTGATTAACACAGAGGGAATGTTAGATAGTTGATGGTTCTTTCTTTTTACATTTCGTAGCACTGATAAAGAAAAATAATATGTTCTCCATTCATATACAGGGTGTTTCAGAATTAAGTAACCCTTTTAATTTGTTAATAAATAAAAAACTAAGAACGTTATGAAGTTGAAACTTGTTTTATTTAAAAGAAGAACATTTTCATGGTAATATTGCATCATAGTTACGTCATTATCCTGTATAGCTTGCTAAATTTGTGTTTAATTATCAAGCCTTAAATTTTCATCATGATTCGCTACAGCAAAGAAGAAAGAACAAAAATTATCGCTACAGTCAGTAACGATGTCAATAACAGAAGTTCAACGTGATTACAGGATCCATTTCAAAACAAGGATCCTTCAAAAAACACATTTAAATATCTTTATCGAAAATTTGCGGATATCAAATATTAGCACTCTCGTCAGAAACACTAATGAAGGTTATGAAAGCAACGAAGAGAAGAGCCCTATTTTGTCAAAACAATTGTGGTGGGCATTTAAAAGATATTATATTTAAAAACTAGGATACAATATTACCATAAAAATGTTCTTCTTTTAAATAAAACAAGTTTCAACTTCATAACGTTCTTAGTTTTTTATTTATTAACAAATTAAAAGGGTTACTTAATTCTGAAACACCCTGTACATCTGTATCTTTTAATACGATTTTACTTTTTTTAGTCTGATGATGGTGTTGGGTGAATCGCTCGAGACTCAGTATTTGGGATCGAAGAGTCAATTCTCGGGTTTATATTGGGTCTCTCATCTTGTTTTTAACGTGAGTCACTCTCGTTAGTTTCGTTAGTCTGATCTCGGGTTTTGAACAAACTGCTCTAGGGCTTGTTTATTCAATAACTGACGACCAGGTGCAGATTACCCGTTTAATATGCGGTTGTTGTGTATGGGGGCTCAGAGTTACGTGTACTATGGTGTGGAACCTAGTACGAGTATTTTGGAACGGGCATTTGGGAAAACGGGTGTTGTCTAGCTTCGCCGTCTAGAGAGAATCCGAATTGAGTATATAGCTGGGTGTCCTATGTTTTAATGCTTGACTATGTGTTACGCGCTTGTTGACAGAGGCCTGTTTTTATAGCTGGGATGTCGCAAAGTTTCTGAAGATATGAAGTCGGACCAGAGTGTTTTTGTTTGTTTGTATAATTTGTCTTATCCTTAACTAATTCATTGTTTTTATTATGATCAATTCCATGAAAAATGAAATTATTTACTGAAGTGAAACAATGCTCACCTATCTTTAATTTATGTTAAGAGGTTTACACTTCACAGTAATATTTTACATGTCATTACTAATTTATTATTTATTCTGGAATAATTTCAAGTAATTTCTTCAATTTCTGAAAAAATGAAGGCGAAATTTATTATATTATTATATATATGAGTTATCACCAATTTGATGTATATTGGTGCACAAATTATCCACAGAAAATTAAAAGCCCCTTCAGATTCTAATTCTATGATTGATGCATGGCTACCAACTGACTATTTTTTATATTTTAGAAAGCACATGTCGTATGGACTGTAAACTTCGAATGAAAATGCACTATATAATTTTTTAATTCGTGTATAATAAACCTGATGACTTTCAACTGTTTTAGAACGCCAAATTACTTCAAATTCCAATCTTCTTAGTTGTTTATTTGGATCCCATTTTTCATGGGTGGTTGTGAACTCGTGATTGTCAATTATATTGTTGATAGTTTAAATATCTTGGTTGGAACTTCTCCAAACTCCATCGGGTGCTGGAAACCTGCAAAAAAATAATTTATTTTAGTATCTTAAATTCAAGTTAAATTTTGATAAGTGTATTAGTGCCGAAAAAACAAAATTAGATTATAATTATATAATTAGATGTTTTTCCTGATTTTAACACATGGTTTTCGATTTTTAAAAGTATTTAAAAGGAATAAATGCTTTATTTCGCCCTGAAAAAGTATTTTCAATTGAAATTTGCACACAAATTTGAAAAAATATACTTTATTCTGGATAGGAAAGGGTAACGAGATAAACAAACTGATCCCATATTTAGCTGCTGACATCATAAATATGGGGTCAGCAGCTGAAAATTAAGGGTACTTTTCCAGGGGCCGTATTATCAAAACTTCGTAAGTACGCAAAATCGACTTACGAGTGGCGTTGCTATGACAACGTAATACCTACTATCGGTGGTATTATAAAAAAATTTGCGCGGGAAAAAATTTAGGCTTTTAGCTAAGACTTGCGTACGAAAGTTTTGATAATGCCAAAATTAGGGTGTATTTACGTACCACAGAACTTCTTTGTCGTAAGTACAAAAAGTTACGAAGTTTTGATAATCCGGCCCCTGGGCAGTTAACTAAACGTGGTGGAAAATTGTAGACTTAAAAGTAGCAGCATCGATATTATTAAATAACTAAAATTTTCAAATAAATTAATGAAAAAAGTGACAGTAGGTTAGAAAGTGAAGGGAGTAAATCGCAATAAAATACAAGTGAAAGTAGATGAGGGGGGTGAGGTTTATCAGAAATCCATTCGGGTGTGACCAGAAACCGGACGTAAGCGTAAATTGCAATTTTTATATAAACTAACTACTTTTTCAAACGACATAGCAATTCGCGTTTTTCTTCTTACATCTTCTTACTTAACTTAACTTCACTATTATACCTGAAGGATGCCCTCTAAACAGAAGTACGAATAAATGTTTAATAAATGTTGAGAGGTTAAACCTACCTGCTATTTCATCTCGTACTGGTACTTGACATTTTTCCCACAGAACAACGAGTCAGCGGCGTACTAGTGGCTGTGCTGGTTGGGCTGTCAATCTTCCTGTCGCCTCTCTTAAATTTGATTCCGAACTCTGTGCTGTTCGGTGTCTTCCTATATATGGGAGCCGTAGGCGCCGTTGGCATCCAGTTCCTGGAGCGCGTTATTCATTTCTTCATTCCGGTCAAACATCACTATAATGTGCCCTACGTTAAAGAGGTGAGAATATGGAAGGTTGTTTCTCTGTGCCTCAGGTTGAGGTGATTAAGCTGTGGTTGTGGGCTCGACTATCATACTAGGGTATGAAGAGACTTGCGGACTATCATCCTAGCTAGTCTATACGGACCTATCATTAATAGGTTATGATGAGACTTGCGTCGAAGAATCAAGGATGCAGTTATGGGCTGAAAATATGTTGATACTTGATGGTATAACATAGCCTTACATGGAGTATGATGACGATGAGTTTGAAACTGAGATGACCGAATATAAGAAAAACTGAGGAAATATCATCAGGTTTCTTATCTGACCAGTTAATGTTTGTAAAAATGTGTTACCTTCAAGTGGATGATAAATGTGAGTTGTATGTTAATGATGAGTCTGAAATAATTAAACCACCATGCAGCATATCTCAAGAGAGTTCATATATAACTAATGACATGGAAGGTAAAATAAAATTCTAATCAACACACTTATGTTTACCGTAAATGTAACGGTCTATTAATTTTTCTCATAAATCTCCCAAAAACAGGTGCCCACTTGGAAAATGCACCTATACACGCTGGTGCAGATCGCTGTGATGGTGGTGCTGTGGGTCGTGAAGGGGTCAAAGGTTTCTATCTGCTTTCCTTTTATCCTTCTCTGCCTCATTCCCATCAGATTCTTCGTCTTTCCCCGAATTTTCTCTTCTAAAGAACTTCAAGCTGTGAGTTGATCTAATATTATTGATATGTTACTTTAGGCTCATTTTTCAATGACGCTGTTCGATTGCAATGCCTTGCGATGGATTTTTCCTCATCCGTTTTGATGCAAATCTACCGATTTCAAACCTCCAACGATTCAAATCTTTTCTTACATAACTCAGCAGTAACTTAAAATAAATATTCAATAACAATATTCACCATATTCATGATAATATTGTGAGCTTTTGATCACGAATCCTGCTGAAATTTCGATAGCTTTGATGTTAAACGTAATATTTTACACAATTTCCCCTATTGTGCAAAAATATCTATTCTTGTCTCCTTTTCAAGTTCATGGAAATATTCCATGCATTCTTATCGTAATTTTTTTTAATCGTCAGAACTCAACTGTACCCCAGATGGCAGAATTTTCTTATTGAAACACTTACGAATAATGACCAGAGAATGCATTATATTCCAATTTGCTAGGAATCAAAACTCTTCAGATGACGTTAATAGATCAAAAGCAGGTATCATCAAGGATTTATAATATTTTTAACGACGTTTCGAATGTATCAACATCCGTTTTCAAGTTAATAGAAGCATTGATGAATGAAATTATGGTGGACATAAGTACACAATACATGTAAATAGGATACAACAAGGAGATTTTAAACGGAAAATGACTGAAAACTATCTCAAAGTTCAGAAAATTTTAGTAGTTTGAAAACGGATAGCTGGATTTGGCCATCCACCGTCGGTCGGTTAATATACTGACGCCACTGCACAATGATGATGCTGGTGGGTTCCTCCAGCACTGCATGAACTTGAAGACGATGCTGGTGGGTTCCTCCAGCGCAGTGTGAGCGACGGTCTTGTGAGCTTGTCTCAAGGGTTCCCCTGTCCTCCAGACTGTAGGTGCATGGCAGCTGAGACGGTTTCAATGTCGTGGTTGTTAGTCCAATAACTTCAATGTAGTCTAAATTATGAAAAAAATTATCGATGTATTCGACTGGCTTGGTGATACCTTTGACAACAATGCCAAGTTCCTGACTATCCGGAATAATGTACCTTGCAAAAAATGCGAGAGTTCTCCAAGAAGCCTATGTAATCTGTAAATTTTACTGCAATGAAGGGTGTAGAAGGGTAACTACCATGACATTGAGACCGTCTCACCTGTCACCTACAGTCTGGAGGACAGGGGAGCCCCTTGAGACAAGCTCAAAAGACCGTCGCTCGCACGGTGCTGGAGGAACCCACCGGCATCATCATTGTGCAGCTATGGCGCCAGTATTAACCGACCGACAATGGCTGGCCAAATCCAGCTATCCGTTTTCAAACTACCAAAATTGTCTTAACTTCGAGATAGTTTTCAGAGTCATTTTCCGCTTAAAGTTTCCTTGTTGTATCCTATTTACATGTATTGTGAACTTATGTCCACCTAAATTTCATTCTTCAATGCTTCTATTAACTTGAAAATATATCTTGATACATTCGAAACGTCGTTAAATATATCATAAATCTTTGCTGAGACCTGCTTTTTGGTCTGTCAACGTCATATGAGAATATTTGATTCCTTGAAAATTAGAATATAATACATTCTCTGGTCATTATTCGTACGTGTTTCAATATATTCGTACGTTTCAATACAATGAACAAATATGCTGCTAAACATTATCTGCAGTATATACCAAAAACATTCAATTATGAAGAAAAATTTATCTTTGACGTGTTATTTTTGCGCAAATTTGTTATTTTTGATCGCGTGATTGCAGCTGGACGGCGTTGCACCCCCACCAAGCGACGGCGACGAGCCTGACTTTTATGAGGAGGCGCACAACATTCGCTCCCCCAGCGTCTACGAAGACGATGAGGGTGGCAAAGACCTGCTCTACAAAGAGAGCTGCAGGCTCTGAGAGCGCAAAATTCCGCCTTCCGAGTATTCTGCACACTCGTTGAGCTTACACGGTTGTCAGTTCGTCGTCATCTTCTTGTTCTGTCATCCGTCGATTTTCAGTTACCTCACGGCTCCACACTCTACTATTGAGCCGTAACACTGCATCTATAACGTGAAAATTTAACTACTTTTCCCCGGGCAAAAATCTCGAAACACCTTTTTATCAACAACAACAAAAAAATAATAATAAGAATCCAAGAATATATTGGAAAATATTTCTATATTATTTTTTGAGGCTTAGTAAATCAGTCCAGCGGAACCACGCCATACTGTGGTCGTCGTCACTTACGGCCAAACTGCCTTACAAACGTCTTCACTTACGACCAAACTGCCTTACAAACGTCTTCACTTACGACCAAACTGCCTTACAAACGTCTTCACTTACGACCAAACTGCCTTACATTAAACGTCTTCACTTACGATCAAACTGCCATACAAACGTCTTCACTTACGACCAAACTGCCTCACGAAGGTTTTCACTTACGACCAAAATGCCTTACGGAGTGTCTCATCAGAGAAAAAAAATTGGTATCTGCTGTACGATCGTGCTTAGCTGTATGACTCTGAGCTCTGGTAAAATGCAGTGGATCTACAAAAAATGGGTCGGATCTTTGACTTGGCCAAAGCCAAAATGAAAATTATCGAAAGACGGATGGTTGCTAACGTTGAGTTAACTGAGAATTGGTTGTTTATTTCCTACTTAAATTAATTTATTTAATTTAGTGATGCATTGAAGTTTGGACGCAGTTATATTTCTTTTATTCAAGAATTGTTTGAATAATCCAGCCCGCAGAAAAATTGCTGGTATTGACGTTACTAGAAGAAATCATATTTCCCGCAACAATCGTAGGGATATTTGTTACTCAGTGACTCAATCAATTACTCAATCTTAATTCACCCATATTGATTCGGCGTCGTTCCTGTAGTCCAAGATGAACCACAACGCAGGAACAAGAGTAATTTTTTACTCATTATTTATGACAAAAAAATCATAGTTCCGCTGCAATTTATCCCAATCGCCTAAATTCATCCTAATGTCCCTAGGCATTCTTGATCTCAAAGTTAAGTATGCGAGTAGCTTACATCCCTCATAAGCTATCTTGGTCGCACTATAGGCATTCTGTCGTCTTCAGTAGGTCTTCTGATTAAAAATGTTGCCTGACTAATTTAGAGTCTTTCGTGCTGATACACATCATTATTCGAAGAAATGTCTTCGATTTAATGAATGGTTTTTGACAAACGGATAAGCAAGTTATTTCATTTTAATATGACTAAGTACGTATATATATTTAAGAGATTCATTAATCATATCCGCTATGCGTTGCCTTGGGGAGTAGTCAGTTCGTATGAGTTGTCTTCTTGAAAAGCAAAATTCAGTAATAATATAATGATTTGGGTGAGTAAATTAAAAATTAGCTTCCTAATGAAAATTATCCCGCGATTGTCCTGTTATACATAGCGTGCTTCTGTTTATGTCTTGTACCTTTTGTTTTGAATTATTATCCTTTATTTGTTTCCTGTTCCCCATCTCACTTGAAGCTCTATGTCCCTTCAGCTATCATCAAACTAATTACAGTATTCAATTTTCATCTGATTCGATCCATTCACTTGAATCGCATGTCTTTTTTGGTTTTAAAAACTCGCGCTTATTCATAAAGGATCACTCTGCTAAGCTACACAAATGAAAGCGTTCTCGAGTGGCATAGGTTAACGCGATGAAGACCTAAATCCTGTTTACTGTGTTTTTTCCAAATGCATCTTCCCCCAATTTTGCATCTTTAGTTGCATGTTTGCCGACGTAATTCATTCGGATTGAACGTGTCCCGCGAGAAATCTCTTGGAGACACACTTTTGAACTATTTTATTTGCTTAATTTGAACTGGTCAACCATTGTACCAACCTGATTCATATGCTGCTAATAAGTTGTAACAACGACTGCATGTTGCCAAGTCTCAATCTATCGTACGCTAAGTATCGCAATAAACTTAATGAAATAATTAGATCGGCCGCCTTATCAATTTTCTTAATCTCGGGACATCAATCTTTTATTCTAGATTATAATTTAGTTCTCGTCTTAGTTATTGATATATAAGATATTTTAGGTATGGTTACGCATATATGAGAGAATTAATGAAAATATAATATAATTAATATATAATAAAATTGATGTATTCTACTTCAATCCATGAATTTCAGTTATAGCTATGTATCATTTCAAATGTTAGGCTGTTCTACTATTTACTTTCGTTCTTTCTGTTATGCTGCGGTAATTCACGTAATGTAATTCATGCTTGAAAAAAATATTCTCCGAATGGTGTTTGGTATTTGTACTTCTCCCTTCAATTCACGGCAGCTTCGTGTAGAGGCTGCTGCTCGGAGGCGAAAGTAAAAAATTATCTCAACCTTTCGAAATCTTTCATAAATAAGCGCAGCAAAGGTTTTCTCCATTGTAGACCAGTTATTTTTGAGTTGTTTCTAAAGAGTGGGAGCTTGCTGGTTGTGGAGGCCATGCCGTTGTTTGAACATATTGTTTGTGCAAATGGCATTTACTATTCAATGAGCCAAATTAACCGTCGTGAGCACTTAGACTGGTAGCGCTAATTCATAAGTATAGTACTTTGCTGAGCTCATCGCATTTTAGTCGATTCTCGGATAGGATACAAGTCTGATTTTTTCCTTGGATGGAATACGAGTCTGAACAGCTATTTAGTTGTTGCCCGTGTGCAGTGTCAAAAAGTTTAAAAAAAATGCGTACAAAGTTATTGCGGAGATGAGTTTTGTTTATTTTTTCTATGCGAGCAAGCGACATCAATTTTTTTTAACCAATTAGAATATCAGGCATTTCACAGGTAGCTTTATTTACGTAGATATTTTTGGCCGAGAAAAAGTATCCTTTACAAGCAAGCTTATTACTCAACAAATTTACATCTAACTAAATAGACCGGTAAAATCTTACAGGTCATATTATATAGTAAAGTATAGTAACTTCGACGTTGAAGAATAGGCATGGTTAGGCCTTTCGCCGATTCTTGTACTTTCCGTGACTTGTTCGCTGATCTAAAAACTGGCCTTTTGACCAGACCTTTCCCCCTGACGGTGATTTGAAATCATTACTAAACTTACATTTGTTCTGGAGGGTAATAGGCATTTCGAGGCTAAACGTAAGCTCCTGCATGGCCTCGTCTCGTCTGTTCTTGAACGCCTTCAAAATCGGAGCATCAGCAATATACTCAGGAAGACTGTTCTACATGTCGGTGACTAGAAGCGAGAAGAAGAGTTGTCGCGTGGATGAGTTGCGCCGCAGTTTTTTTACCTTATTGTCGTGGCCCCTGATGTTGGTTCTTGTTTCAAATTTTAGGAATACTACTGGGACCTGGTATAAACCAAAAGTCAGTGAGGTCGCCGCGCAAACGTCGAAAACAGAGACTTGGAAGCTTCATAATTTCTAATTTTTCTTCATAAGACTTGCCCTTTAATCCTGGAACTATCCTTGCCGCACGTCTTTGAAAAATCTCGACTAAATTTTTTGTCCGTCTCAAGTTTAGGTGAATTCGTAGGAGCCTGAACATCTAGGAACTCGAATGAGCGCCTGCATGATTATCCCAAGCAGTTTGGTGGCTTTTTAATTTCCGTTCCACTACGCCTAGAAATTTTCAGCTCCTTGTCGAAATAAACTCCCTGACCTTATTCCACTGTCGACTTTTTAATCATTACTCCCTAGCAGAGCTAGGCAGCGCTACTTTGAAATGTAGCGGCCGCTACCGCTACCGCTACATGCTCTAAATGTAGCGGGTGCTACCGCTACCGCTACAAATGTTTATATGTAGCGCCGCTACCGCTACTGAAAATGTAGCGGCCGCTACATGTAGCGCGCTACTGTCCACCTCTGGTAACAACTAACATGTTGACACTAGTAACAGGCTGAGGTTGACAACATTACACCGAAATCTTGCGTACAGTTTTATTCTGTAATAAATATTATGTATGTATCATGCTGGTTTTTAAATAATATTTAATACTATTAAGTAAAATCTAAAGGCTTTATCTATAAATGTAGCGGTAGCGCCGTAGCGGCAAAACCTCATATCGCTACTTAAATATGTAGCGGGCGCCTTCGCTACCGCTACAATTGCTTAAATGTTGCGCCGCTATCGCTCCTGAAAATGTAGCGGCCGCTAGTAGTGGCCGTTACATGTAGCGCGCTACTGCCCACCTCTGTTCACTAGTAGCAACCATGTCTTCTCATGCTGTAAGCTTGCTGTTCATTGTTCTTCCCGATGTGAAGTACTCATCACTTGCTAGCTCAAAATTGTTTGGAGTGAGATAATGTTTAAGCGTGATGCACAGACGAGAACAAGGAAGAAGTTTATTATGGCACTTAAACAGGGACACTCCTAAATTAAATATAAATAAATAGGAAGACTATTTAATATTATGTCACTTTTATATGGAAATAGCTGTCAACAGCATGGCGGGCGTGAGAGAGGACGCTTGCTCTATTTAAATTCCCGGCGATGTCGCCTGACGGCTCCAGGTAAAGTTTGCATTACATTCTTAGACGATCCTGAATTGCATATTCATATTTGCCGAATACCAGAACTTTGAATTATTGTACGACTATCGGTTATAAATAATTATTAAACTGGCCCTGAATAACTGGCTTAAACTTGCTCATCACTATTGTCTTAAAATTCATCACTATTGTGTTCGTTGTTGAAATTTCGATAGGGTTAACGAGTAAGAATTGGACGTAATTAAGGTATCTGATGGTTTAAATATAATGTCTTATTTGGATGATAACCTCTGGAACCACTATACATTTTAGTGATGCACAAACATGGTCCATAACTCATCACATGATCGCACTGTACGGCACAACAAAACTTTTATAACTTTGGATCAATGTTACACTTAGGCGCTAATCTTACCTCAGCTGGCAGCGTATAAATTTATTGAAATTTTATTTATCTTTTCGAACTTATCAGTGTCCATAATTTTCATGGAGATTCGATAAACGCGATAGTCGGAAAATGCATCTAATGGGCTTTTTCACTAAATAGTATATTTTATTAGCATTTTTTCATCACGGTAGAAATGCCGTGCTACAATTCATTTAAAGCACATGTTTTATTTGTTCTGAATGTTGACTAACAAAAATTAAGGATTCGGAAAATTTCCAAGTAATTTTATAAGTAAAATATCATAATGGTTTATATCCGGATATTTTGATTGGTTTAGTAGCTTGCTCAATATTGATTCAACCTGAAAAATTTGTTCGTAATTTCTTATTTTTTGCATCGGTGATCGTTGCCTCCTTCCTATAGAGTATAGATTGAGCTCAACTTTGCTCCGAATCTTTTTCATGAAAGTATGGTTAATTTAGTGTTTTCATAGCTCGCATGTACACGGTGCCGGTGGACTTGCGATTTAAGTAAACAAGAGATGTAAATATGTGAAAAGGTTTTTTCGTAAAAATATTTAGGCTGGTCAGTCTATTTCATCGAAAAAATAACAATGATTGAGCTCAACCAAGCGAAACAATTAACATCTTTTGTAATTATTGAGACCCATTTACCATTGCATTGCAACAAATTAGTACTCCTGAGATATTTTTTAATGACGCGCTCAAAGAAATTTAATTTCAGGGGTAACATGTTTAGAATATCGCCTCGTGAAATAATTGATTGTGGTATCACCTCAGCATAGGAGCTGTGGAGCACGATCGAAAATCAGCCGAAAGTCTTTCAGTCGTCTTCATTTTAATTGAATGTTTTTGAATTTCCGCTGAGAAAAAGATTTGCACAATTTAAATTTTTCATGACTTCTAAATCAATGGATTCTGAATCTGGCTTCGCCAGCTACGATGATTACCGCTGGCTTGAAGAAAAGTTGACATTAAGCTTGCACTGGAATTTAAAATGCATATTAATCCAAGGTAAAGAATGCCTTTAAATTTATCGGTATGAGCTTTCAAATTGCAACCTGTGTCGGGTGTAGTATACTGTAAAATTTTTGGGCCTACGACATTCCCAATTTCATCAATCCCAAATTGAGAAAAGGAGCGATACTGCGAGATACTCTCAATTACTCATATATAAAATATAAGTAATGTCCAGATCTGTACCAAACAACAAATAAATCCTCTATAGTCTATACCATCCACATTCTCGCGAATCTCTGTGGGTTTAACTGCAATGTTCAAAAATTGTCTGTGTGACTATAAATAATTGTGGCAAGCACCCTCTTTAAGAACCGAAATTGAAAATGGAAGAATTGGAACTTAATGAAAATTAAGATAAGCATGTTCAATTATTCATACAAAATATTTTCTTTCTTCCTTGACTTATCAAAAATTAGCATTGAGTCTTGCGAGAGTACGGGTAAAAATAATTCATTCAAAATTAGCAGCGAGTCTTGCGATAAAACGGCTAAAAAATTATTCATTCAAAACCTATTATTGAGCTCGTCGATGATCAAATCGTAATCGATCCGGAAATCATTATCATTTTATCGAAGTTTATACTATACGCAAATGCGACATCATTTTAGTTGCGAAAGCTTGTGCGTCCAGGAACAAGGTAGAGGAAATTCTGGCCATTGATTCAATGCGGTACGCTTCGCTAGGTTAATTAACGGTCCCGAGACGTTGTAGTCCAACGTTTTTTTTTTGAGTGATTTTTGGTGTCTAAAACTTGGGAAAATATTATACGCTTGGTTTCAATGAAGGGGTTCATTTCATTCAGGTTCCGTTACATGGAAGCTAAAATAGAAAACGTGTAATGAATTAATCAATGGAATTTCTCGAATAAATCATAAGCGCAAATCAAGTTGATATGGGAACAAAAAAAAAAATTGTTGTGGCTGAGATGATATTATTAACATTATAAATACTGCATTGTGTAGCATGATATCAATTGATCGAACAATTAACCAAACGATTTCGTAGATTTAATGAATATTTGATTGAGACTTGACCCATATAAACGCCAATTTCCTTTGACCAGGGGCCATACTTTCAAAACTCGCTAAGTGAACGTCAGTACTTACGCTCTATTTTCTTGTCTATGATTGGTGGATTTTGCTTGAAAGGCCATCAATGATTGGCTGATGAACTTACGATCTCTTAACTTTTTTGAAAGTATGGGCCCAGCTGCATAACGAAGGCTACAACACCCTATACCATCTACTTCGGTCTACCGGTCTACAATCTACATCTATTCCACCAATTCTCTTGGATCCAGTGTCATCGCTGCTTTCAGTTTCAGTTGCATGGTTTTCATGGCTGTAATTTAATTATTGTGGCATTGCTGCTATTAA